ACAGACCTGCGGAGATAATAACATGCATAAAAACAAGACAGAGCAAAACCAAGCAACAATATACAACAAAACAACAACAACAGCAAGCCAATGACAATAAACAAAACCAAACACAACAAGAAATAAAAGGTTGTAGTTAGTTCAAGGACTGTTTGTAGGCTTTTAGGAGTGTTTTCTAGTCCAGTCTGATGGGGCACCATACCCTGACCCCAAAGTCCACCTTCAGCATTCCCTGGTGACCTCGCCGCTCTGTTCCCTGGCTGTTCTGTTACACCCCCTTAGTGTTTTGCCTCGGTGTGGCGGGATCAGATCGGGCGCAATTCCCACATTGTGTCTCCGATGTTGTCCCCTGTAGGGCTATGGGTCAGTGAGGGATGTCGTGTCTCATAGTGCGGCCGGCCATGTGGTTCTCTCTGTGGACTGGCTCCTCTAATCGGGAACATCGTCCTCAAGGCCTGGTGAGCCAGGATGTGCTCGACTCTATCCCCTCCCTTTATCTGCTCTCATGTGCTCTGATCAGATATGTCTCTCTCCCAGAGCTGCAGATTCAGTGCCGTCCTTTGAAATAAATTCTTCTGGGGAGAGGGGCAGGTGTCCATGTAGTAGTTGGGATTGGGGCCGCCCCTCAGTCCTCTTCATCGGTTCCCTACTCCACGCTGGCATGTTGCTTTCACATCTTGGAGCACTGGGTGGAAGTCTGGTCCCCTTTCCCTGTGGAGATATAAACAGTACCCTTCCCTTGGGTGGGCTAGTGCCCTGTGCCCCGCTACCCTTTTCTTTTTCTTTTTTTTCCTTTTCTCACCTCCTTTTTAGTTGGCTACCATATCTATCCCTGGATTTTGTCTGGTCCCTGCCATACTACCTGGTCCTCACTCCAGGAATGTTTGTATACAGTAGCTTTTTCCCTATATCCCCTTTGCATTTTTTTTTAAAAGCTTACCTCGGACCATGGTGTACTTGTCCTTTTGTGCTTAGCCTACTTCGCTTAGCATGATTTCCTCCAGTTCTTCCTATGCAGCAATGTGCTTCATACATTTATCACTGCTTTTTAGCGATGCGTAGTACTCTATTGTATGTATGTACCACAGTTTTTTAACCCACTCATCAGTTGATGGAAACTTGGGTTGTTTCCAACTCCTTGCAATTGTGAACTGTGCCGCAATGAACATTGGAGCACAGATGTCTGGTCTTGATTTGTTTCTTGCCTCTTCTGGGTATATGCCCAGTAGGGGGATTGCTGGGTCATATGGTAACTCGATTTCCATCTGTTTTACATATCGCCAGATCGATTTCCATAGTGACTGTACATACGTAAAGGTCCACCAACAGTGGATTGGAGTTCCTGTCTCCCCACAGCCCCTCCAACACTTGTTGCTTTCTGGTTTTTTGAATTGGGCTATCTTTGAGGGTGTTAGGTGGTGCCTCATTTGTATTTCTCTTATGACTAAAGATCGGGAACATTTTCTCATATGTTTGTTGGCCATTCGGATTTCTCCCCCTGTGAAACTTCTGTTCAGGTCCTTTGTCCACCTCCACAGTGGGCAATTAGTTTTTTTCTTTTTGGAAGCTAGCAGAGTATTGTAAATTTTAGTAATAAGGCCTTTGTCTGTCAGCAAGGATCTTTTGTAGGGGTGGGTTTCTTCTAACATATTCTTTGAGTTTTTCCTTGTCTGAGAAGACTCTTACTTCTCCATCTATATTGATCAATAATTTGGCTGGGTAAAGTATTCTTAGGTTTGCGTTTTCCTTCAATTTTTGGAGTATGTTACTCCACTCTCTCCTTTTCTTCAAAGTTTCTGCTGATAGGTCTAAGCATATTCTTATTTGGGTACCTTTATATGTGATTGTTTGTTTTTCCCTAGCTGCTCTCCTGATTTTCTCCTTTTCCTCAAAGTCAGATAGTTTGACTATTATGTGCCTTGATGACTTCTTGGCATTCAGTTTAGCTGGTGTTCTTGCAGCCTCCTGAATGGTTGCTTGGTTTTCCTGCAAGAATTCTCTCACTATTGTTGCAGATGACTTCTTTGTTGTGTCTTCCTCTGGTAAGCCAAGAATTCTGATTTTTGTTACGAGTTTGTTAATGTCTGCTTGGCTGTCCTCCAAGTCACTGATGCGGTTCTCTGCTTCCTCCAGGTCCATGTTTTGCTACTGGTTTTTGTTATCTCCTCCCTACGCTCCTGTATATCCCTTTGGTGTATGGCCTTTATCTCCTCTATCATTTCATCCTTTTTCTGTATTGTTTCCCTCATATCCTGTATGACTCCAAGCAGCATTCTGAAAATTTCTTTATGTGGCAGCTCATTGTCTGCTTCTTCTATGCATGTCGTTATGTTTGGGACATCTTCTGCCATTGCCTTTTGTTACTCCTGTTTTTTCGTTGAGGTCGTTGGGGCTGATGGCTGTTTGTGTTTTGTTGTTTTAGTGGAGCCAGGTGCCATTTTCCATGGAGTCGAAGAACACTGGCTTTCTCTGGGAGACTTGTAGGAATGCTTCATCGAACTGCCTACAGCTAATTTCGCTATGGAATTAACCTACCATTATATCCTCCTCTGGTTTCCCTCCCAGGGGAGTGCCCCAGAGGCTGATGGGTTGCTTGCTTTGGTCTTGTGGAGGTTGGGCAGAGGTTCCTCCAGCAGCTTGGAATGTTGAGGAGTGTTGGCAGAGCTGTCTTAAGCCCCCAGGGACCCAGGCAGGAATACCCCGGTAAGAAGTTGGGCAGAGTATCCCCTGGTGGAGGTCAGCAGGGCTTTCTCCAGCCTTGGGCTAGCTGCACAGGGTGGAGCTCACCTAGCTGGGTGTGGGGCAGGCATAAATGCCCTAGGCTAAGGGGAGTGGTTTGGAGGTCAGCAGTGGAGTGTGAGAGAACAGGAAAGAGACAAAGAGGAGAAAAAAAATAAAAAAATAAGACCACTTAGACTGTGCATGGATATAGAGAAGAGAAGAAAACAAAAGCAACAATGTAGCTAAGTCCCGATCCCCACCCGTGGAACTGCAAGGGTTTAGTCCCTGCCCCAAGGCAGCAATGGAAAGCTGTGGCTGTTGAGAAAAAGCCCCTGTGCAGCCCTCCAAGACTGGGGTGGGGTGGGGTGGGGTGGGGGAATAGTGAGAATAGATGGAAACAAAAGCAATAATATAGCTGAACCCAGATCCCTGCCTATGGAGCTGCAAGGGT